CCAGTATCTACCAAAAAAATGTAATATCTTTTTTTACCAGGATGATCCTTCAATAATAGATTCAGGAAATGGTTTGCAATTAAACACCAAAAACATCATTGCTTCGTGTATAGAAGAAGATGGCAATGCCAAGAACTGATTATTGTGTGAAAAATGCAGTGATACATGACTGATTACAGTTGGCCTAATTTGCTGTACCTATTTTTACCCATGTACTGTATTTCTGTGTTAGGCTGGCCATATATTATACAATTATCTGCAGATTTTTGGTTTAGATTTACCAAAAACCATATAATAGGAGGACAAACCTAAACAACACTTTCAGTTGTATCCAATTAGGCAGGCCCTTGCACTAAATAGTTGAAGGTAAATCTAAAGGAAATTGGGCAGAAAATCTGCAGATAATTGTATAATGTATGGCCAGCCTTAGGCTGGCCATACATTATACAATTATCTGCAGATTTTTGGTTTAGATTTACCAAAAACCATATAATAGGAGGACAAACCTAAACAACACTTTCAGTTGTATCCAATTAGGCAGGCCCTTGCACTACATAGTTGAACGTAAATCTAAAGGAAATTGGGCAGAAAATCTGCAGATAATTGTATAATGTATGGCCAGCCTAAGTGTGTCAATAGAGGGTGTACTGGAGTTCAAACATTTTTTTTGCAAAAATATATTAATACAATAAGATGTCCTTACAGAAAGAAACTCACATATTAATCTTCCATTATCTAGTTGAAAAGTGTGAGCTCTGTGTGTAGGCATACAGCCCAGTGCTTAATTAGGCAAATTACTAACAGGTGCTATTTATCAATGACATAATGTGTAGTTGACCCAAACTGATGAACTGAAACATAAACAGCTGTGTAGAGGGAATAAAACTGGGTAAGGGACAATCATGCTAAAAAGGTGAGGTCAAGGTAGGTATGGTGGTTTAATGTGAGCATAACAATGCAAGATGATGATCCTGCAATTATAAAAGGTTCTCCTAAGCAGGAATTTTATGGATCACAGCTGTTTGCCAATGTGCTGTTCAAACTCGTCTTCAGAATCAATGCAAACTGGCCAAGGAACCAGTGTGGCCTTGGTATACCCATGAACAGACTGGAAAGGTTTTATCAGAAGTAATCTACATAGAAGACTTCTACACAGAAGCCTATTCTCTTTATGTGGAAAAAAAACCCAGGAGACTCACCTACACACAAAAGCGAAAAGACCGGGGTGCAAAAAAAATGGCAGCAGGTGATCTGATTGATGAGTTACTTTACTTTAAAAAATATTTGGCTCCTAATGATTGTTTTACATGGATGACAGTGACTACTACCCGTCAGATGCTCATTAACATTAAATGCCCGGCTAGCAGTTGTGGTGTGTTTTTTTTAAATACAAAATCCCTCTTGAGTTAACAACAACAAACAAATACATCCAAGAGGCGTCAGGATCACCTCCCGAACACCTGGCAGCCACTGCTATACCACCCTTTGAAATGCGATCCACTGTGGATCAGAGGGCTTTTCAGACAGAGGTATAGCAGCAGCTGCTAGGTGTTCCTGACATCTCTTCATTGTCTTTTTTTATTCCAAAAGGGGGATTTTGTATGAAAAAAATGCACTACAGCTGTGCGTCAAGCACTTGGCTCGCAGGTGAAGCACGCTCTCATATATGTTAATGGGTGCGTTTGACAGACAGTGCCACCTGCCAAACTGTGCTAGCCAAGTTAAAATTGCGGTCATGAAGCACGCTCCCATTGACTTTAATGGGTGCGTTTGACAAACAGTGCCACCTGCCAAACTGTGCTAGCCAAGTTAAGATTGTGGCCATGAAGTAAACCATTGCGGACATGGCATGTGTACAGCCTCGTCTAGCAGTAATGGTAGTATTTACATAGGTGATCAGGGGTGGTAAAACAGTAGTTTTTACTGCCCCCTTGTCTACCTATAAGACAGCGCCCTATTAGAATGCAGTTCATCTGCCAAAGGCACACACAGTTCTGTGTACTGCACTACCTGTGTGATCTATGTAAAAAATCTTGTTATATAGTAAATTGATCAAAGTGGTTGCCATTTTCATTTTGAAAACGGTGCAGAGACACACTAGAGCAGCGGTTCTCAACCTGGGGGTCGCGACCCCTTTGGGGGGTCGAACGACGCTTCCACAAGGGTCGCCTAAGACCATCGGAAAACACATATTTCCGATGGTCTTAGGAACCGAGACACCGCTCCTCGCCGCCGCCACCGCCGTCTCCAGGTGTGGGCGGGATGACATGCCGCCCCTGTCATCTGGACACACCTCGAGATCGATCCTCGCCTGTGATTGGCCGCCGGCACTGTAGCTCAGGAGAGGCACACAGGCGGCCAATCACCGGCAAGGAGGTGGAGCTTGGAGAGGAGGAGCCGAGCGGCACCGCGAAGATCGAGCGAGTGAAGAGGAGGAGAGCGGCCGGAGAAGGAAGACATCTGACAGGTAAGTGTCGGTACCATGGGAGAGGGAGGGAGCGAGCGAGCCCAGGCTGGAGCAGGGGTCTGCAAGGTAAGTATCATTGGTGTCAGTGGGAATAGTGCCCCATCATTGGTGTCACTAATACCAATGATGGGGCACTATTCCTCCCACTGACACCAACGATGGGACACTATTCCTCCCACTGACACCAATGATGGGGCACTATTCCTCCCACTGACACCAACGATGGGGCACTATTTCCCACCCCCAAATGACACCAACGATGGGGCACTATTCCTCTCCCCCACTGACACCAACGATGGGGCACGATTCCTCCCCCCACTGACACCAACGATGGGGGCACGATTCCTCCCCCCACTGACACCAACGATGGGGCACGATTCCTCCCCCCACTGACACCAAGGATGGGGCACTATTCCTCCCCCCACTGACACCAAGGATGGGACAACACCAAGGATGGGGCACGATTCCTCCCCCCACTGACACCAAGGATGGGGCACTATTCCTCCCCCCACTGACACCAAGGATGGGGCACTATTCTCTCCCCCCACTGACACCAAGGATGGGGGCACTATTTCCTCCCCCCACTGACACCAAGGATGGGGCACGATTCCTCCCCCCACTGACACCAAGGATGGGGCACTATTCCTCCCCCCACTGACACCAAGGATGGGGCACTATTCCCCCCCCACTGACACCAAGGATGGGGCACTATTCCTCCCCCCACTGACACCAAGGATGGGGCACACTATTCCTCCCCCCACTGACACCACCAATGATGGGGCACTATTCCTCCCCCCACTGACACTATCTTCCTCCCACTGATACCATGATGGGGCACTATTCCTCCCACTGATACCGATGGGGCACTATTCCTCCCCCCACTGACACTATGATGGGGCACTATTCCCCCCACTGACACCACTGATACCGATGATGGGCACTATTCCCCCACTGACACCTATGATGGGGCACTATTCCTCCCCCCCACTGACACCGATGACGATGGGGCACTATTCCTCCCACTGACACCAATGATGGGGCACTATTCCTCCCACTGATACCAATGATGGGGCACTATTCCTCCCACTGATACCGATGATGGGGCACTATTCCTCCTCCCACTGACACCGATGATGGGGCACTATTCCTCCCCACTGATACCGATGATGGGCACTATTCCTCCCACTGATACCGATGACGGGGCACTATTCCTCCCACTGATACCAATGACGGGGCACTATTCCTCCCACTGACACCGATGATGGGGCACTATTCCTCCCACTGACACCAACCGATGACGGGGCACTATTCCTCCACTGACTGACAATGATGATGGGCACTATTCCTCCTCCCACTGATACCGATGATGGGGGCACTATCCTCCTCCACACTGACACCGATGGGGCACTATTCCTCACACTGATTCCTACCATACCGATGACGAGGCACTATTCCTCCCACTGACACCAATGACGGGGCACTATTCCTCCCACTGACACCAATGATGGGACACTATTCCCCCCACTGATACCAATGATGGGCACTATTCCTCCCACTGACACCAATGATCGGGCACTATTCCTCCCACTGATACCAATGATGGGACACTATTCCTCCCACTGATACCAATGATGGGGCACTATTCCCCCCCATTGACACCAATGACGGGCACTATTCCCCTCCCACTGATACCAATGATGAGGCACTATTCCTCCCACTGATACCAATGATGGGGCACTATTCCTCCCACTGATACCAATGACGGGACACTATTCCTCCCACTGACACCAATGACGAGGCACTATTCCTCCCACTGACACCAATGACGGGGCACTATTCCTCCACTGATACCAATGACGGGGCACTATTCTCCCACTGATACCAATGACGGGACACTATTCCTCCCACTGACACCAATGACGGGGCACTATTCCTCCCACTGACACCAATGATGGGGCACTATTCCTCCCACTGACACCAATGACGGGGCACTATTCCCCCCACTGACACCAATGATGGGGCACTATTCCTCCCACTGACACCAATGACGGGGCACTATTCCCTCCCACTGATACCAATGATGGGGCACTATTCCTCCCAATGACACCAATGACGTGGCACTATTCCTCCTACTGCAAAATTACAGTTATGAAGTAGCAACGAAAATAATTTTATGGTTGGGGGTCACCACAACATGAGGAACTGTATTAAGGGTCGCGGCTAGAAAGGTTGAGAAACCACTGCACTAGAGGGTTTCAGCTGCCTTTGAGCTGTGGTGGCTGTCTGGTGTGGCACTGCACCTTTACAGAAGAATGGGCTACCTCCTTGCATACATGCTTAATTTTTCATCTTTGCTATGTGCTGTATGTCCCAAATTGGGAGATGCTAAATTAGAATTAACTGCCTCTCACCCACCATATAGTAAAATGACGGGCACAAGGCAGTTTTTCTCGTTCTGGGAGGACGTCATTTGACGTCCTCCCATTCTAACTGTGCATGCGCGGCTCCGGGAGCAGGCAGTGCGGCGATCGGCGGTGCGCTGTGTCCTGCGGACACAGCAGATCACCGATCCACGGAAAGAGGCGAAGATGTTGGCTCGGTCATGTGATCAGCTGTGTCCAATCACAGCTGATCACATGTAAACAGGGAAATACCGGTTATCAGCATTTCTCTCCCCACGAGCTGTCATGCTGACAGCTCGTGAGGAGAGCCGGTAATCGGCATACCTCGGGGGGGACATGTACATGGATCATCAGAGCACCGATGATCAATGTGCCCTGATGATCTGTGTAGCCCCAGCAGCGCCACCTGTCAGTGTCCATAAGTGCCAGCTGTCAGTGCTCATCCATGCCACCTGCCAGTGACACATCAGTGCCACATTTCAGTGCCCATCAGTGCCACATCAATGCCACATATCAGTGCCCATCTGAACTGCCTTTCAGTGTCACCCATCAGTGCCAGTCAGTGCCACCTATCAATGCCAGTCAGTGCCACCTATCAGTGCTGCCAATCAGTGCCACCTATCAGTGCCACCTATCAGTGCCAGTCAGTGCCACCTATCAGTGCCATATATCAGTGCCATATATGAGTGCTGCCCTTCAGTGCCCATCAGTGATGCCTGTCAATGCCCATCAGTGCCACCTACCAGTGCCTCCTCATCAGTACCAATCAGTGCCACTTATCAGTGTCCATCAGTGCAGCCTATCAGTGCCCATCAGTGCAGCCTCATTAGCGCACATCAGTGAAGGAGAAAAATCACTTATTTACAAAATGTTGTAACAAAAACTAAGAAAATGTTTTTTTTTTTTTCAAAATTTTCAGTGGTTTTTGATTTGTTTAAGAAAAAATAAAAAACCCAGAGGTGATTAAATACCACCAAAATAAAGCTCTATCTGTCACAAAAAAATGATAAAAATTTCATATGAGTACAGTGGTGCATGACCGCGCAATTGTCATTCAAAGTGCAACAGCGCTGAAAGCTGGAAATTGGCCTGGGCAGGAAGGGGGTATAAGTGCCAGTTAGGCTAGTGGTTAAGGACCATACATCATTGATGTGCCTTGAGAAAGCAATGTGGCTTCCCATATGTTTTCAAACGCATGCAACAACATTTTTGAAACAGTGTCAAATGTATTTATTTAATAATTAATTTATATCATTTTTGTTGACTACCTTATGTTATAAAGCTAGTCATAAATGATCAGTGGTTGGTAAGTGGTTGCCATTTTTGCTTTGCTTGCAAATTAGGTGTGTCTCTATGTACAGGGGTCATACAGCTAAATAGAAATTCTGGTAGATGGTTGTATGGCTGGTAGCTGTAGGTGTCTGAAGTATGAATATTAGCAGAAGCCCTTTTTAAGTTTTTACACTTGTGTTTACAATGACAGTCCCCCCAACCAATTTCCCCTGATAAAGCTATGTGACCCGATGGTGTAACGCGTAGGGGAGGGGCTCTGACATCACGACGCTTAAAGCAACATACAGCAAGTATTTAACAATATTGGAAAACTTTACTGTGGATTCAAATTTCAGCATTTCAATGAGGTTTTAACTTGTAACACATGTGAGTGCACTACTATATTTAATAAATTATGTTTTAAAGCGGATAAGGCACTATATTTTTTATTACATTCCATGGTCATTGTACCTATGGAGAAAAAATTCCTAAGGAAGCAAAGAGACCCCCTAGTGGGAAGAGGGATATTCCCCTTCCATCTATCCAGCTCCAGGAAAATCCATCAGGAAACAAGGAGACCCCCTGCTGGAAAGAGGGAACACTCTGTCCATCCATGCATCCATTCATCCATCCCAGGGAAAGAGGGATCATCCCATCCATTCACCACTTAGCTCCATTAAAGGGACACAAGTCTTTTATGAACTCACTTAATGGTCTGGTCATATACACCAGGTGAGAGCACAACCGGTCAAGGTGTATAACAATTTTTATTATTGGTGAACTGCACAGTTATTAATTTTGTATCACAGCACTGGAAGAAGGTGTAGCAAACTTGCTCATCAGAGTTGGATGCGGAGTTCCCCTTTTTCTATTCCTCAGCCCTCATTCCTTACCCCCCTCCCTTCCTGAGATGCAAACGTTATCTCCTGAGTGACAGATGGTGGGGGGTCAACACAGGCTAGGTATTCCTAGTTTGGTACCAGCCGTCTGTGTAATTGTAACCTTTTTCACCCATCATAAAAACAGATAATGCAGTTTCTCTCCGGACTTGAAAGTAAATTGAACATTCCTCAAGTCAGGCTCCCCCCCCCCCCCCCCCCCGTGTTTCACGTCATGGATTATGACAGATGTGGGTTCTCTCAGAGTTCTCCTGACCCCTCCCAACACAGCGTAGTCAGAGCAACCCCCCCCCCCTCAGAGGGATTTTTTAAATAGAGACAGGCTAGCAAGCCTGGAAGTTGAACACACACATCTCCAGAGTGTAACACATCTCCTCAGCTGAACATCGTAACAAAAGGAGATGAAAGAATCATCCTGCTCTGCAACTTGGATCTGCAAACCAAGGCATATGGGCAAGTAACTTAACCCTGTAACTTTCTTCCTAATATCTCTGGGCTGTATCTTTAAAATATATATATATATATTTTTGTGACATCTCTTTGTAAATATTGTATTGCACCTGTTTGACTCTTTTAGTAATAAATCTTTCTTTCTGAAAGTGTTAAACTGTTTTTAAGCGCTTACTTGTAATTCACGAATTCCTGCCTTTTGAAGAGACGCTGCTGTGTTTGTTTACTCCCTGCCCAATTGGCCTTTAGTTGACCATATTGGACAGGTGACTTTTCAATCATTATAGTGTATTTCTGACAGAGTTTCCGTCTTCTCTGTACCAAAGACGGTGGTGGCAGTTTGAAAGGGTTAGTTGCATAATTAACCCGACCCAGTAACAAGTGCATTCAGGCTGCTGGCATCGATTGTAGCCCATTAGCTGGACAATCGCTGTGCAGGGTGCAGCTGGGTGAGGCCTTGTTACGCGCGTCACGCCGCGGTTTTAGATCGGCCAGGCCTTCGGTCACGAGTTGGTGAGAAGGTCTGGGGTCTGATGCTGCGGCGGGACGTATTACTGTTAGTCGCGGTCGGTCGTGCGATTGTCGCATGTTGGTGGCGGCGACTGTGCGATTGTGACAGAAGGGTCAAGGGTTTAATAAGGACATGTTTGCAGTAATAATAGAATTGCAGAGACGTTTTGCACTCTTTCGAAGCTGGACTGTTATTTATTTATTCACACTTTTTTTGCAATTGGTAGAGGAGCGTGACATCACTTTTTTCACTGATTTCACTCTTCCTTATGCTGCAAAGGCAGGGGAGGGGGGGCACATATGCCACGTCCCTGATGTTTTGCATCACGGCATGGCATAAATTATCTGTCACATTCAACAAGTAGAACCACCCGCTGAACATGACCAATTCAACTGAGAAGGGACGCCCTGCAACCGCCCTGCAACTGCATGTGATGCCTAATGTGGGGTTCAAGGTGTTAAAGCAGGCAATGCCATTTCCCTTCATTTCCTGTCCCAGGAGGCACCATTCTTCAGAACAGGATATAAGGAGAAATCTTCTGAACATGGACACTGCATTAGAAACACGATGGAGTTTATCCATCAACCCTTTCCTTCTCTGTTTATAACTGTTGGCTTCTTCCACTGGTACCTACATGGGAAATATAAGGGATTTTTGTGCAGGAAAATGAAAGTTTCCCTTAAAACTTTTTCGTTATACAGTAGGTGTTATTTAAATTGCCTTTGCCATAGGTTAATGGATGGCAATTAGCTATTGGTTATCATTATCTCCTTTCCTTTTCACTATAATGTATTATATTATTATTCCGATATTTCATTCCTGCTGGAAATATAACATGTTTTTAACTTTAAACCTTTTTTCATTTTCTGCTTTTTAATCAAAGTTTCTGTACAATAGATTTTATTGATCATTAAAGCACGTCCCATGCCTCTTATGCCGGAAAGAACTGACACGTCTTTCTTTTGATTTTCCCTTGTCTATGGGAATAAAAAAAACATGTTCAATTGACAAAGAACATTTTCTTAACTTCAGGAACAAAATGTCTCCATATAAAGAGTGTCATCTTCTGAGCGCTGGCTTTGTTACCGAGATCAGTTAGAGCAGAAAAAAAAATGGAAGCCTAAAATTGCATGAAAAGAAAAAGAGTTTCCTGCTCTTCAACTCTTAGTTCCGTTTATTTATATATAACTAATCTTTATTCAGTTCTCTAACTTTTGAATAAGGTGAATAATCTTTCATTAATGAGAGACTATTTATTTATTCTTTAAAGATTAGTATGATTGTTGAAAGCTTTAAATAAAACATATTTTTCAGTAAAAATTATATATAAAATAACTACTTAATGGGAATGAAAAATGTTTTAGTTGTTTTAGATATTTCAAGATAATTGGTAAGTGCAGTGCACTATCTTCTATCTGTTCATAAAAATAAATTCATGAAATGTGATTACCTAGAAAAACAGAAAATCAGTAGAGCTTAAACAAAACCCTCTAATAACCTATACACTCAGGGGCATATTTACCACAAGGCAAACAAGGCACTTGCTTAGGGTAGCATTTTTCAGGGGGGCAGCACCTCCCTCCAGAAGAAGGGATGAAGCAAGGGACACGCGCACCATGGCAACCAGGGTGGGTCAGAGAGAGGCTGCTTGATGGTGTATGCAGAGGCTGTCTCTTGTTCCCAGGGATGTCTGGAGCTGTGAAGATGAGTGTCTCTCTATTGCCCAGGGGGGTAGTGGAAGGCTCTCTCAAGTGTGGGGCAGGAGGAGTGTTGTTGGTCAATGTCAGGCTCTCTCCACAGGAGGGAGAAGGGGTGGTTGTGTTGTTCGGTGTCCGTGGGGGTAGACGATTTTTGTGTTGCCTAGGGCAGCACAAAACCTAAATACACCACTGTATACACTACTATACTCTTGTAGTGGAATTACAAAAGCCTGTTGGTAAATATGACATCCAAATCTTCCCTTGGTCATGCACAAGAAACACTATTTTTAGTCCCCCTCTCTTTGTATTATGTAGCACTAGCAGGGGCGGACTGACCATTTGGAAACTTGGGCACTACCCGAGGGCCCGGGGTCAGTAGGGGGCCCCATGAGAAGCCCCTGGTACCTTTTTCATAGGCTTTTTGGAGTTTGGGCAAGGACACGGGGCCCCATGATCCCCTATTGCCCGGGGGCCCCATGAGTTGTCAGTCCGCCCCTGAGCACTAGTATGCAATATCACAGAAAATCACTGAAAGAAAACAGGCACTAAACCAGTTAGCAAAGGTAAATTTAATACATTGTCACTTGATATTGTTGGTAATGAAGTAAGCATAGAAATGGATTAACAATGATAGTAACACAGTTTAGTAATACAGACTAGGCACAGGATGACACTTGACTTTAAGATCAGCATAAAAGGTAGAGTCACCTAAAGTGTAGCAGTGCTCAGTAATAGAACTTGATTTACTGACCACAGGAACTATACTGCCAAAATGTATTAACCCCTTCACGCCTAAGGGTAAAACAAATCTTAACGCCTAAGCACAATTTTGCAACTTTTGACGTGTTAG